CCACTTACCTAAATAGTAGGTTACTGGGTTATGTAACTATGAGGTATATAGAGCCCAGAACCAATTTATTGGGTAACTGGGAGCCCCTGGGCTATGTTCCCACAAATTGGATGCCAAGAATACACACACCGAGATTCCTACAAGGAAGCCTCTGTACACTCACCGAAAAACAAAATGCAACCCTTTCTACTTCAATTCCAAACATGCAACTCCAAATCCTGCGCGCCCAAGCCATTCAGCATCGTTTGTAAGAACTTGGTACTAGAAGGTATATTATTAAACCTGAGTGTCATCTATGATATTCACTACAAGAGACTATAGGGTAGTAAGCTACTAGTCACCTGGTCAGAAGTAGGGATCTTCCCCATCTAGTTTTGGTACAAGGACTCAAGCGACCCTGTACCGACCTCACACTTGTTTGGAACTTGACACAAGCTATACATCCCCTTCTTGACGATCCCTGTTGCAAGGACTAAACTGCAAAAGCTATGTAAGGATTTGCTATTGTGACATATCATATGTACGAAGCATAGATTCAGCAACATTTCCAACATGAGAGGTAGTAAAATCCTCCAAAGGACTCTTCCTTCCTGTCGCTGCGATTCTTACAAGCCCAAACCCTAAACCCCCTTGTCTTAACCGTCTACTTGAAGGTTCATGGGACTTAGTAACTACATATAACTTGGCTTATAACCCTACTTCTAACCCCTCTAAATAGCCTTATAGGGGCTGCCCCAATTACAAAGTACAGTTACAACCCCAGTTATAAATAGTTAATAAGTCCCATGAACCTCCAAGTAACCCCCCCTTGCACTGAACCCGTAGTCATGCTCTCTGGCCTTGTGGGAGCTACTCCCTCTTCCGCAAGCTCCCTGGACCTGAAAGGCTGGGATATATGGGGGCTCGCTGCAATGAATCCTAAGGGTGCAAGGACCCAAATAATGGGGTTTTAGGGCCCATTTACTATAATACTAGTGGTATTGGGGCCCTAAAGCCCTATTATTTGGGTCCTGGGACCCCTTAGGGGAATCTATACGATCCATACGATGACCCCAACAAAGTGTGGTTCCAGGCATATGGAAGCAAATCTCAACCCCTGCAGACCAAGATCCTACGTATTCAGCGGCGCTTGCTGAGAGGAATCTCAAGGCCTAAGAATTTGGGGTCTTGGAGAGTCGTTGAAGTCCTGGAGTGCGGCGCATTTTGGATTTTAAATGCTGGCGTCCGTGATTGATTAAGCTAATTATAAGATGGCCTGTGCTCTAGGAGCTGTGGAGGTCTCGTGACGACCATCATCAGGGTGGCTTCCTGGTTTATGTCAATCCAGAACGCCGAGCTGTCCGGACCGTGGCCATACCAGGAGTTTGATTTTAAGTCGGCTACCAGAATGAGGATACCCTAAGTTTTACAGTACTATATCGATCCATATTCTTGTCACTCAACTTAACCTTCACAGAAACCCAGTGTAGAAGTCGAGTATGCTTCAACCAAAAAACTGCATGGCGTATTATGGGGGGGGTCCATAAATATGTGGCCCCCAACTGGACCCCAATATATTGCAATACTTGTATAAATATCCTGAAAGGAGCCCTCAATTTTAGAAGCCCGTGAAACCCTTAATGTAGGCGGGGGCATAAGACAGACGGGCAGAGATCTGCGTCAATCCTGACGCTTCATATTTTCAACATTAACTGTCACGCTCCCACGTAGCTCCTCCCGTGACTGGTTCTCGCCGGTCTGGGGTTCTTTGCTACTACCTATGCTACTACCTATCACCTCAAGGTGGCCTGTAAAGGACGGCGACTACACGCATAGTAACTCAACTTATGGCCTCAAATTGCCCAGCCAAACGGCCAATCAACTGAATCTGATCCTTTATCTTGGCCCACCCTACCCCACAGCACCCCATAGAGCTGCACTCTGGTGGACTCTGAACCTTGAGCCCCAAGACCTCACATTCTACCTTGCGAATTGTGTACCTCTGTTGTGCGTCAGCGACACTCGACGTCCTCCGCCAGCAGCGCAAACAGCGCTTCATAGGCGGGGCCCGTCTCGTCTTCCACATCCCATGGAATTTCCTGCAGTGGTGACTTGAACTTGTAACTGGTGCTGGGCATTCCATGGCAGTCTTGGGTTCGTAGCGTATTATGATGGCCTGGCTCATGTCGATTGCATTAGTTGAGCTTTCCTATCAGGGTTCAAGGCCTGTAGTCTTATAGGGTCTACGGCTAGCACACAAGTCTGCCCCCTTGCGCATCTCAAGGAGCAAGAGGTCAATGAAACCTTTTTGAAGCAGTGCGGTGATTCCCCCTTTCCGAGAGTCTGTCCACTGATCCATGGACTTGGCATCTGACACCAGTGGGTTCAGGGGGTTTGGGGGATTTGGGATTACCTGGGGGGCTTTATCTGGTGACCCCCGGGTTCAGAGAAACCAGGGGCCGAAACCAGCACATTCAGACTGGGTTGCTGTTGCAGCACCGAAACAAGGGGGACCTGTGGTTTGCTATATATCCATAGTCTGGTAACTTACTTCAAATTCCTTCTCAGCAGCCCAGAAGATGTATGTGCTGCGAAGGATCCGTACCACCAATAATTGTAGTAGTAATTAGAAAGACAAAATACTAATGAAATAACAAGGGCTTCACATGAAAGACAGAAAGGTAAACACATGGAAACTACTAAGCTTTCGGGATGTAGTCGAAGATGGAGAATCAAATGCAGGAGACCATAAGAAAATACATGGAAACAGGGTGAAGAAAGTGGCTCACAGGGTTGGACCTGCTGCTGTCGTCTTAAGGGCTTCAAGTACTTTACTAGTCTGAGGATTCTCAAGAGACGGGGGCCCTTGGTAAACCCTAAACCCGAAACCCTAAAGCAACACATGAGGATGACAGGCATGCTGTTGGGGCCTCTAGTACAGCCAGGGGGTGATCCGGGGAGGCGCATGTGGAGAAACTCCCATATGTTCGAGCCTAGATCTGAATCGACAAAACTCAGAGCGTTTCTATTTAGGTTTAGGGTTTAGGGGGGTTTCCATGACTCATAGAACTCCGCCTTAGGGTTCAGAGTTGAGGGTTTGAACAACTCCTGGCCTGCCCACCGAATCCTTACAGACAATGGTAGATCCCAAACCCCAGACCCGTTGGATCCTGAACCATTACCCCGAACCCAAGATTAATCCCCAGACACCTGAACCTGAGTAAGCCAGAGAGCGCCTAGAGAAGCGCAAAAATTGGACATTACACAACATGATACCAGGCTTACGCGAGCATGAGTCTAAACTCCAAGTATTCCCCTTAATCAGCCCTATAATGAGAACTCTATAAATTCCCTATATAGCCCCCTTTGAGGAGTTAAGACTCTTCCTCTCCTCATATGTTTGTGGCTGTTTTCCCCTGGGAAATCACTGGTGGATGTATTAGCAGCGCAGCACTCTGAGGACAGAGCAAAAAGCAGCGTCTTATCATCTCTCCAATGCCTGCTGAGCAGCATGTGTGTTGTTAGCGTAGTGCCTGCCAAAGGAAGACCACTCTAGGCACCTTTACCTAATAAGTGTATACGTGGTTAAGGTGTCTAAAGTCGAGGGAGCAGAACTTTGTGGTGGTTGGGCCAAACCAGGTTACAGCTGTCGCTTAAGAGAACGCCATCACCAAACAGAAGGGCGTAGTGCGTTCCGGCGAGCCATATACACGCGTGGTATCTATATATACACGGATTGTGTGTAAAGATCTTTTCTTGTAGACGGTGGGTCTCTGCCTGAACTCAATGGAAACGTCCATCCCACATTGGCTAGTCCAAAGCTAGCCTGGACAGAGAGCAACAAAACAAAACTTGCGTTCTCAAGATCACAACCCAAAGGCTCAAGCGAGTGGCCACGAACGAGCGCACTGCCGCAGCTAAACGGCGTGTTAGATCCGTCTTATGTGTCTTCTAGGTCTAGGTGTACAGAGTTAACTTCTTTTGCGGATCAGAATACAAATAATAGCAATAAAACAAGAAGGACAATGCTGTTAAGAAGAAGAATACAAATGCTAACAATAGTGGAAGCCACAATATCCAGGTGCTAGGCGGCAGGGATGGGATCTTGCTTGGCTATCAGCTTGTCTGTGCATCTTGACGTCTTGTCGTAGCTTTTGCGTTTACGGATATACTATATTGGGGTTACATGGGTTTATTTTGGGGGTATATTGGGATAATGGAAAATGAAATGGAAGCTGTTATAGTATATTGGGAATATGTACTGGTGCATCCCCTGCCCTGAAAGCACCAATACGGCTGCTAGAACACTTAAAGTCTGGCTACGGCACAATGTGTTGCAAACAGAAAAAGAGCACCTTAACGACAAGCCCTTAAGCTTTTACTCAACTGCGGCCCTTCTCCTTCTAGGGGTCCAAGGACCCAATGATCATACACTTCTCTGAATCCTGCACTACAATTACTATAACCCAATCCCAAGGACCCAGTTATTGGTTACTTCGGCCCTAAACCCTAAAGCCTAAAAAAACCGATATGTCCCGCTATATGTCTTTGATATAGACTCAGTTATTGGGCACCTGAACCCGGAGCCCTAAACACTAAATCCCAGACCTACCAGCAGGCCGCCGAAGTACGACAACTACCTCTTCGCGTGGTCGAGGAACCCTAACTATCCCTAGAGGGTCCGTGTAACCAATAATTGGGCCCCTTTTAGAGGATATGAAGTGATATACACTATAACCAATAATTGGGCCCCTTTAAAAAGATATGAAGGGATGTATAGTACATATCCCATATCCTTTAGATTGGCCCAATTGTTGGGCACTCAGACCCTCAGGGTCCTAGGGCAACTCGAGCCTCGCCGCCAGCGCTGGCAGCAATGGCTCAGAGGAATCGAGTCGCTCCTGCGCACTTCTGGCCGGAAGGGGGGGGAGGGAGATTAGGGTTTAGTTTCCATTTAATTTTCCATTTTCTTTTCCATTTGGTTCTCCATTATTGGTGTATTATCCCTATATTAACATAGTATATAATAGGGTGTAGGGCTTAGGGAGGTTCAGGGTTTGAAGTTGCAAAGTTGAGTGTTGAATCCTCTCAAGGCAAGTAGGGGCGCGCAATTTTGACAACTTTGGGACCCAAACAGGAACCTTAAATCCAAGCAGAAGTAAGAGCCCGCTTTTGTGCGCACCAGCTTATCTTTGAACTTCCCGATTGCGAATCCATATGCTCACCTGTAAGTATTATACCTTGCATCATTCGAACCAGCCTTCAATTCCAAACATGCAAACCAAATCTCTGACTCGCGTTGTGGCGCACACGCTGTCTGCATGCAAGACCAACAGCTATCGTGCACACAACCCTAAACCCAACCTGTGACCCAATTCGCCTACAGCTTCATGGATCATACTTACTAGCTGCGAGGGGTAACTACTACCGAACTGCGGGTACGTGGGGTTAGAAGAGGTACACCCCAACCCCTCAGCCCCTCAGCAGCGTCCTCAAAGGGCACGTCAATCAAAGCCACCTGCCAAATGTCAGGATATTTCTGAGAGCTGCATACTCCATTCTGGAGAGGTCCCAAGGAAAACATACTGCAAATTGCCAGGCCCATGTGATCCTGATCAGCCCTGCTGTTCCAAACCCACTACAGCCCACGTCCTCTCCGACTCTTTCTATAGCCCGGAGACCCCCACATTTTGTAATCTAAGTTTTTCCATGGGGCCCTTCAATGTCGCGTTTCTCAACAAGATGACTGGAAAGACCATGCATACAAACGGATTGCGAAAGTGGCTCCTTCAGCGATTGGCTTGCCATGACAATCCTCTTCGAGGTTGTGTGAGCCCTGTGAAGTCGTGCATTTCTTTGATGCATAGGCATTTTCGCACTTTGGGAAGCTGTACTCGCCACTATGATGTTGGCGTTGGGCCGGTGACGAATTGATATCTTAGAGGAAGCACATGGGAATTTCAGGAACCATGAAATGATTCTTCACGTAGTGTATCGAAAAGGCCTACAGCAACTGCATGTAGCCCTGACAGTCTCTTCGACTCAAGCTACGCCTGAGGTAGTTCTGAGTTTGCGCCTGGAAGCACAACTTCACCAGCAAGCCCCGAGCGCAGTGCTTCACTTCACAGACTACATGGGGGTTTCCCAATATTAGGGGTACCATTCTGGGGGTCCCAATAATAAGGAGCATAGTATTTTGGGGTCTATATTGGGGTCCCCCTATTTTGAGAAACTACCATAAAGAAGAGTGTGCTGTAGATGCTAAGCTTCATGCCATCTAACATTCGGCTTGGCATACATCTTTAACTTGAAGTTGTCATCTGAACACATCCTGAGAAGCGGGCACTACCTTAACTGTCTCGAATGCTGCAAGCTTATGAGGCGGGCGCACAAGACTAGTGTCTCCTCCGCCATGTTTTCAACCATCTCCGCAAGCGTGGCATCCGCCTCGTGCGGATTTTCCATGGGCTCGGCAGGGACAAAGCCGTAACTCGCCCACAGCGCGGCCGTGGAGAATTCGCTGTAGAGGTGTGTGAGCTCATCTCCTGGAAGCTTTTCCGGCTAGGGGTTGCTTCAGGAGCCTTCCCTGTTGATACAGGGGTATGGGATTCTCACTGAAGCATTGACTAAATGAAAGCCTTTGTCATGAGAAAGCGGCGTGTGCATCTCATTTGCTCGTACCTGTTCCCCTGCTAGCCATTGCCATTTGTCGGGTAAGGCTTGGACACAATGATGCCTGTGCCTTCAAACTCCAAGCCCTACAATCAAAGTCTGGGTTCCGCGAATTGGCCGTGGCAATTGCAGCGAGTTTGGCTCGCATAATATTGCTTCTATCAACAACCGCGCGGTGCACCAAATTTCTGCTCACCGCAGCAAAGAGTTCTTGCTTCAGTGTCTCCTGGGTGGCAGCATCGCCTGCATAGAATACACAGTACAATCAGCAAAGAAGGCTCACTGAGAACAAATTTGAGAACATGTAGAAGTATCCATGGACAGTAACACCTGAACTTCAGTGCAAGACCGAGCGCATCAAAACTTCCAAGCGAACTGACTTCCTGTCTTGTACTTGGAGGTTCGTGGGACTTAGTAACTATTTATAACTGGGGTTATAACCCTACTTATAATTGGGGTAACCCCTATAAGGCCATTTACGGGGGTTATAAGTAGGGTTATAAGCCCAGTTATAAGTAGTTACTAAGTCCCATGAACCTTCAAGTAGCAGGAACGTGACAAGTGCGCCGCTATCCGGCCGGTCCATTGGACTATTGCTACATGAGATTCGTTCTTGATGAGGAATGTTGGAAGGGAAATACTTGGAATTAATGCTACATGCCCAGTATCCTGACTGGCATCAGGAACCATTGGAAACATACAACCAAACCAAACTTGCAACCCAAACCATTGTGCTCACATTGTGCTGTTTCGCTTACCACTGCGAAGCTGACGCACCGTGCAGCTTTCGCGTTATCTTGAATCAAATCTCCTGTAAGATAAACAACAGGGGCGTACGGTTTTTGTAGGGTCACGGAGTGATTTTCTGACCAGACCAACCCAAAACAGAAAAAAGTACTCAACTGCTGAACCTTAACCTCCTAAACCTCCTGAAATGTTCCTGCGGGTAAGGAGAAACCCTAAACCCTAAACCCCAAACCCTAGGAGTAAGGAGTGTCCTGGCTGGATTTGGGCCACCGCCTTGAGCTTGGCTCCAGATTTCAAGTCACCCACGAATCTGGCATGCAAGGTGCGATAGGTGGCTAAAATCGCTGGTTCCTCTAGGGTTTAGGGCTTAGGGTTTAGGGTTTAGGATTTAGGAAGAAAGAAAACCTATTGGGAACTCCATTGAGACAGAAAAGTAGATCGGTAAATAGGAAGGAGTCTTCAAGGTTATACACTCAGTTGCTGGACGCTTGCAAGCGTCAGAATCACATGGTGAGCTGTTCAGAGTCTGAGAGTGGAGGCAACAAGGAGTTGGATGCTCAGAATGGTGATGGACTTCCAGTTGGTCGTCTCTTTCAGCAGGGTTCAGTGTCCATTCAAATCCAGCAGGGATGAGATTTGCAACTGGGTTTTGACTCAAGGGGTTGATTCAGTTGAGGCACTGTCTGTTGGAGGAGATGGTAGTGTCGTCATGACACCTTGACATGGGACAATCTGTGGGGTTTCCGTAAGGCTTCTATAAGGATATGTAAGGGAATAGTGGACAACAACATCGCAATCGATATACCTAAGGTTCAGAAGGTGCTCGGATCACTGGCAGCCCCGCGATAAATCGAGAACTATAATTAGGGACCTGAAAATTTATAATGTATTTCAAAGTAGACGGCCAAACATCTATGAAGCGCAGGAAGTAGACCCTGTTTCAACTTGTTGGTGCTATCACATCTCCGAGGGTTCTTAAGAGCTGAAAATTACAACACACACACACACACACTCCCTACGAATTCTTCCCAACGGTGAGACCAACATTTCAAGTACTTTGTTCTTGCGTCCTTGAAGAGTCAAGGTCAACAATAGTTCTAATAATTGTAACCGTATCAGTAATAGTTGTTGTAGTTGTAAAATTATTCGTAATCGTATCAGGTAATAGTAATGGCCATTTGACTTGTCGACGCCAGACAGGCCAGATGCACTGGCAGTTCCAGCACGCCGGACCCGATGCAGTGGGAACAAATGTGTTCAGAATGTCCTGGGGTTTAGGGTTTAGGGTAGGTTGGGTTGTGGCTTCGGCCATGGGTCTAATTCAAGTTTCTTGCTTGTGGAGATTCATGGTTTAGGGTTGTTTTAGGGGTTCAGCACTCGGGTTTTCCGGTTGAAGGCAGCAGCTGCAAACAATCCTTCAGCTCCAGGAACCCCCACAAGCAAGTGATGCTTGACTGGAGATATAGCACGGATCGTATAAGACAGACTCAAAAGGTTAGCTTTCTGGCTCGCCTTTTTTCAAGCTGCGTGACTACATGGTTGCCTCCGCAGCCAAAAGCGGAATGGCGCCTGCTGATACACTTTGGGTATTTGAAATTGTATTTCACGGTCGCCGCACATACCCCCGCCCTGGTGCGATAGCTTTCTGATGAAAGCATTTGTCCACCTCCCAGGCCTGTGTCACTTGGCAGCACCTTAGACCCCTGCCGCGCATATGTTGCAAGCTACACCCCGTTTGAAAGTCGAGCTCTTCGAACTGGACGCAACGTCACATGTGACTGGTCTTTCTCTCCTGCATACACATGTTGAGCACGCTTGCTGGTTCGTCTCCAGAAGTTCAGCGTACTGCCTGTTCCTGTACGAGCTATACCGCTAGTTTAAAAAAATGCTTAACATCATCTTGCATGTGCAACACGCGCAAGTGGCATGACATGTTTCTGCATGTCTTGAACTGCGGAGGGGGAGGGCGTTTCGCTCCTCACAACTGATGAGCGCCGACTTGATAAGACGGCCCACCCAACTGTGCCATAATTTCAGGAACTTCCCTTAACCCTAAATCTAAAACCTTATAAACCCTGAACCCTAAACCTCCTATATTTCCTCACCATCCTCCTGTACGCCTGGTATCTTTACAGGACACCATACCGCAACATGTGCTCATGTCTTTGTCAAGTCTAGCCAATCCAAGACCAAACCCAAGCCCAAAATCTGAATCTCTGAAGTTAACATCCCACATCACCTAGACTTTTGTAGAAACCCTCAAAACCCTCATGTGGGAGATTCCCAAAATTGGACCCCAAGGGATACCTGCGGAGAATAGGATGGGCTTGGGAGTCCTTACTGCAGAATATTGGGGATTAAGCTGAAAAACTCCCATATGAGCCATTGTCTAAACTCCTGGTATACCCCTTAGTAACCCCTATAGCCCATATATAATTCCCCATATAACCCGCATATACCTCTCCAAGGAAAGCGTCGATAAGTGGCACCAAAGCTCGGACAAATTGCTTGGGCCCTGCTCTGAGGTTGAAGGACCTCCCACTGCGCTGAGTGTTTGTGGTTTAGGGCTTAGGGTTTAAGGTTAAGGGCTTAGGGTTTAGGGTTTAGGGTCTGTGGATCCAACGTGGGATCGGGATTTAATGTCTTGGGGTTTTTGGGATGATCCTTGTTGCAAACGTGTGTGAGGGCTTGGGTGTTTAGGCAGCGCTTCAAGCTGAAAGACTTGAGGGTTCAATAGTTCAATCAGTTCAACCTAGGACTTGAAACAGATGAAAAGGAGCCGCGCTGAAGGAGTAGATTTGCAGAGCTACTGAATGAGCATATGTCCACAGAGATAAAGGCGTATATACTTTGAACAACTCCTACCGTGGAATGTTCTTCATCAAGGCCTACGAAGGGCACCCAGGTTTTGACGATGATACCTCATACGCTCCCAAACCCGCTAGAGGATCCAACATCCAAAAAATGGAAACTTCCAATAATCTCCTCAATGGGATCAAGGGATCTTTTTGTGTGGGCTCTGTTTTTTGGATCCGTTGGGGGTCTGAAACCAGTCCACCCCACAGGCATGATACCAAACATCTCTAGGCCTGCTGTTCTGAATACAGTACTGCCAATAACAAAGAGAGAAATAGAGAAAATAATGAGAGCAACATAATCACCCTCGGGCTTGAAGTCGATGAATAATACCTACATTGGGCCCGAAAGCCTATAAACTCTACCTTCATCCAGTTTTTCGCAGTCTTCATCTCATCCATTTGCAATCCAACACACCCTGGGCTCTATGCCCCCAAAACCTTGAAGAGGACTATGACTATGTAACGCTGGGCACGTGAGAACGGCCTGGAATCCACCACTGTCAGGGCCCACAGCGCCTGGCAACCAAGGACACATGTGAGCTCTTCAGCTATCTTAACGAAGGGTGGAGAAGTAGCTGGAGCAGGAAAACCTAAAAAGAAGCGGGGGGGTAGTGGAGGCCGTCGTGGCGGTACTTCAAAAACCGAAGCAGCAGGAGCAATGGCTGAAGATGCAGCAACAACGACAACAACGACAACAGCAGCGGCAGAAGTGCCATGAGTATGTTCCAGCAGCGTCGTCGTGCCTTGTGGGTTATACGTGCCAAAGTGTCGGAAGAGGCAATAGGAGCCTGCGGACCGCAGAGCTCAAACAAAAGGCCCTAAGCAATCCTTGACAGCACCCTTGAGCTACTGGGTCTGAATGACAGGAATTATTGGCGTCGAGTAAAACGCATACACAGCTTGCGCGCATTTCACACATCCTAGCTGTCCTAGCTGGTGCTGGATTGCACGAGCCACTCCTTCCTGAAACCCATGTAGGCACTCAGCACGGCACGGCAACCATTTGAGCTATAGTATCAAGTCCTAGCCCCCTAATAACCCCCTTTAAGGAGTTTAGGCTACAGCTTTTCTAGAGGTGGACCTCTCTCCGCTTCTTGCGCGAAGGAAGCCCAAACTTTAAAGAGGGATCTTAGAGCAATTCCTAAACCAGCCCCAAACCCTATACCCTACAAACCAATCTAATCCCCC